CGTCATATATAATTTATAGAATAAATAGTAAGATATACCTACATAATTATAATCACTAATCGCTTTATACTTATCAATAATAATATTATATAAATACTTAGATGCCCATATATACCAATTACCAGTTTTTTTAGTAATACATTATCATACAGCATCACGATTTTAGATGTTATTATAACTTAACAGAATATAATATTTGGCTTATTAAATTAAATTTATTATAATTAATTCTTGTATCACTAATCAATAACATAACAAACATACTATAATAATTATTATTGTTTTATATGTATTGACCTATAAGATATTTAAGTATTATAGGCACCGTCAGGGCCATCTGTATGACAAATGACTGCATAATAATATAGCGAGTGGTGACTGGTGAGTCGTGTGAGACACGACATTTTGGTTACCGAACGAAACAGTAAACACTTATTATTTCAGAATTCTGATCTGGATCAATTCCGCTGTCTGACGAAACGCTTAGCTCGTTTTCCGAAGAGTAACTTCGTGTCAATATCCAATAGTTAGTATGTTATGGCCTATGGGTAAGTCACCTGCGGTAAAGAGTACAGACTACAAAGACTATATATATGGGTACCTATTAAATTATTTATTATTGTAGGTATATCATTCACTGCAAATACCTCGTGTAGGGATGAACGCGTTTACCGCCGTAGTTCTCTACGACCGTTATATTTTATAATATTATTACATCGAGTTCACCTCTCACCATCCTCCAAATCGATATAGGGTCGTCAATACGCCACTGATTATATTATAAAGGTACAAATTATACCTACCAGTTAAAATAAGATAATACATTGTATACGTAACGAATAACGATTAACAATCGATTTTGTTTGATGCGGATCGAATTATAAGACTTATATATAAATAATAATGATATTACACGTCATGTGATATATATATATATAGTAATAAAATAGCTAAGGTACTGGTATCCTCGAGTCTATTCAGCGAAATCGATTCGTGAACGATACATTATAATTGCTCCGCGATGTATTAAAAAACTATATAGCCGCCGACAGATGCAGTCACGTTATAATTTGCACAAGCAAATTCGTGTATATAGCTGTTATTGTGGTGTATATGATATTCAGATATTATTTTATACACCGCGACCGATATTCCCGCCATGAGTCGTGTGTTAGTGTGTTACCTACATAATATAGAAGAACACTGGACGAGCTGAGCCTATTTAATATACTCAATATACTATTATATAGGTATGCCAATTTTACATGAATTATATTATGGTATTATTAGGGTTCCGGAAATCGTGAGAATTACACTGTTTTTCTTGAAGGGCTTTTCATCTGCATAATATATTATAATTATTTTTATGTGGACATAATAACAAGTACCTATGTATGACGTGCATTAATATGTTTACGAATGGGGTATATTGTATTACTTATTTAGTATATTACCTTAATATTTTTTAGAGTAGAGAAAACAGTTTTCTAGATAGCTACTGAAGAAACCGTAACCATACACAATCAACGATTTTTAGTTTTGCTCCAGTTTAAAATGTAATTAAATTACCCGCTCACGACGGGTTTAATGCATATCAGCTAACTGAAATATTCATATTTAATAAAATAATAACATTTTAAAAATATTTTGAGTTCGTGGTTATTTTAATTTAAGCCTTACGTGTAGTCTATAGTTATTTTCCAATAGAAAATAATTACAATTATCATTCTATACGTTTCGCCCAGTACCAGCATTCTACAATTATATTTATTTTATTCTTAGTAGCTAGCACGATACCTATAGTAGTTATATGTTAATATGTTATTGTTAAAGTTAGGCGTGGATGGACCTTGAAGGGAGGGACAAAGTCTAGTTACGCTCATGTTTAAGTGTCTTATGTAGTAATAATGTAATATATTAAATTCAACATGAGTGAGTGTGTGACACGCGGTTCCCTCCCTCAAAATTCCCGCCCCTGTATGTGATATACCTGTTGTATTCGCATCCACAAAAGTTGCGTCATCATATAACATACCTGCATCATAGTTATTATTATATATTATAATTTATAATATATTCGTGTGCACGATATTATAGTAGGTTTATTAAAAATAAAACCGTGAGTTCGCGTACCTAAATATATATAAAGCTTATGTCAGTTTAACATACTATACACTTATATATATATTACTAAAGCGCGGTCTGTGGTTTTTATTCGGAATTGACGCTCATAAACAGCGCGATTAGCGAAAAAGAAGTGAAAAAACGGTAACTGCAAGAGGTATTTATATACCTACACAATATTGAATATACCACACTACTGCAGCACCGTGTATGCATGAACGATAATAATAATAATAATAATAACGTTTTATAATGGCGAAGAGTCGGTCACGTTCGCAAGCGAAAAAACAAAACGAAAAATGAAAAAAAATGATTCACAATTGCGTTCCAATACTAAGCCGTCTAAACCTATACATTATATTATTATATGCTCGTAATTCGTACCCAATATACCTATACACATGCTATTATATGGGTACGGAGTTTTTTTATTCGACCAGACGTCGTAATCGAGTATAAGCAGCTCTCGCGGGTCTATATATATCGTTGTGGTCGATAGTGCCAGTATAATAATAACAATAATAATAATATAGTGGCGGTCGTTTCGAGATTTGAATCGGTCGTTGGATATTATAGTGGCCCGAGAAAACTGCGACTATATACCACTCGTCTTCGGGGCGAATATGGCAGGCAGACTTCGAGGGAGCGCTGCCCCCCGTCGGGTATATAATAATCATGGCCGCGGACGAATAACGATGCACGCGCTTATAATATAGTTCTTTGTGTCCCGCGTGTCCATTATTCTTTTATTATCCGTTCGCAGGGATGCTGCTGCAGGTATACATTGGTACATCGTTGGTATACTGTAGAGTGTATAGGTATAATGATAATATGTATCTCAGAATAAATACAAAATTATTTAAGTTATCATCGAGTCGTGCAGAGTGTAATATTATTGTATTCGTTGGACTATACGCGGTTGCTGCACACTGCACAGTGCACACAGCGTTCAGCAGCAAGCAGCAGTGGACTCGTGGCAGTATTCTACAACGCTCGAGTATATTTATTTTAATAATATTTATCAGTCGAGACGTATACCTACGCGGCTACACATGGGTATGGTATACGGACGACGTCATTGTTTCATTGTGTCGGCCGCCGCCGTTCACAGGAGTATGGTATCCGGTCATTGTGCGGTCTATGTACACGCGTCGGTCTCCGCAGCAGAAGACGACGCTGGTTTCGCTTTGAACCTCCGCAGCAGCGACCTTCGCCACCGTACGGTCCGAGACTCGACAATATTATAATATTAATATTGGTGTATTATACATCATACACATAATATAACTATTGTACATACAGCCCTTATATTATTATATTTTCGTCTCGTCGTCCGTTTGTTTACCCGGACGTTTGTCCCGTCGTCGTCCTCGTCATTATTTCATATTATAATTTATTATTAATATGATTTTATATCATATTATAATATCATATTGTTATCGTCGTACAAAACACGACAATGAACACGTTGGCGACGACGGCCCGCGCGTTCGTCCATCACGAATTTAATTCGGTTTCCTTGCCCTGCCCCCTCGACCATCCCGTGGACCGTGCACAGCCGCTCGCACCGATGTAACCGATGTAATTACTTTAAAGCATTGTTATTGATTGGCCGATGGCGCGCGCTGTCTTCGTCGTATCTATTAACCACCCCAGTACCCCACCCACTTGCTCGATGACCAATATCATTATTGTTATTATTATTTATTATATAGTATACATAAACCGCTCCACCAGCGGTAAATATAGTTCCATTCCATTAACTTTGGGCATAATATTTTTATACTTTACATTCGGTAATATAATGATATAATATAATACTGGTGTACTATAATACGCGCCACTGCCGAGGTAAACAACCGATCAATATCTCTATAATAATATGAAACTGTGTTTAATATTATATTATATTATACAATGCGTTAAAATTATAAAAATACAAATTGTTGACGTCGAAGCCTCGAACGGTTGCTCGAAAGAACTAAAACGTACTCGACAATGATTTATCAAAACTCATCAGATATAAGTATAAGACACGACAGTACTACTTGCGGTGTGATATTTTTACCCTGCGGCCATAATATATTAGTTATATTACACGTGTAATCGTTAAAAAACAATAACCGACGCGCTCGAGGCTAATATTAAAATACATTATACTGTCAGTAATATATGAATAATAATATAAGACACTATAGGTTTTAGAAATTGAATAGGTACCTATGTATAATCTGTGTTCCGTTCATCGAGGTAATTGACGATTTCAATTTCTACCCAAAAGAAAATGAGTAAAAAAGCATGATAGGTATGTCGTATACTCGTATGTGTACACAATATTATACCTAATAGTACACAAGTTGTGTGCAGCCTATATATGGGCTATTATGTATTTATGTGTATATATACTATTATAGCAACATGACTTGTATGCGGGTGAAAAGTTTCGAATACGGCCATTGAAGTCATTGCGTGTATAATAATTTCAATTGAAAACGTGTTATACGTCATAATACAGAAATAATAATAATAGTGATTGAGCTAGACGTGAAAGGATGAAATTTTAAGCCGATTATAATTAATTTTTTTTTTTTGGACAAGATATTATGAAAAAAAAATTGAAAGAAGCAATAATGACTACATTTCATAATATCGTTATCATTAGGCATAAGGTTTATGCGATCATAAAATATGTAATCATCATCGAAAGAAACTCGAATATATCATGAGGACAGTCAAAGAAGAATGAAAAAATGTTTGTGTTTTTATTACACATTATAATACAATTTGAGTTAAAAGTAGAATCGGCTTTTCTTTATTGAATATATTTTTCCTTATAATAAATATTATGTATTAGTAGGTATAAATTAAAAACTTACCCGATGGACAGGAAAAAAGTCCGGTCCCAGGAGTTTGAATCTGAAAACAACAAAATACAAATTATTAATTAAAAAGTACAATCATGATATTTTACGTATGGTTGGTTGTTTGAGTCCGCAAAAAATTTATTCCGGTACCGGGAATCGAACCCGAGCCTCCTGGGTGAAAGCCAGGTATCCTAGCCACTAGACCATACCGGAGGGATATTTATATGAGGAAATTTAACAAGATTTAAATTATAAGTATACAGTAAATCGTAACAATATTATTATTATAGTTAAAATATTATAATTCTTAATAACAAATATTTTATTTAAAATAATGAAAGAAATATCATTTCATTCTTAATTTATTTTACCTACGAAAACGTAGATTGGTACATGGTACCTAATTAATCTAGAAGTGAATTTATAGGTATCAATTTGTTTTAAATCAACATTAAAATACCTTACATACCTTCATATTCAATTGGGTATATCAAACTTCAAAATTCAAATTACTAATGAGATAGTTACATCGTACACGAAATTAAGATGTACCAAGTAACCAGGTAGGTAATTTGTATTTATTGAATTTAGAAGTAGGTAATAAAAAAATATAAATAAAGCTAATTGGGTAGATGGTAATAAACTAATAAATTACTAAATAGGTGCCTGCTAATAATAGACTACACGAGCCAAGCCAATACATATATTATGTTGATTATATTTCACCAATGCACTAGTTGTAACGGATACCTACACTAGGTACTTACTTTTATAATAATACGACCAATAAATACAGTTATAGAATATCCACTATAGCCATATATGAATAGGTATATAATTATATTTTGTGCTGTGGTTTTTTTTAGACTTCAAAGAAGAGTAAAGTTATAATATTTAACCCTAGTGGCCTAGTCCCTAAACGTCTCAAGCCAAATAAACATAGGATCCTAGTTCCCCAAGCATTAAAGATTTGATATGATTATGAATTATGAATTTTTACCTATTTATAAATACATATTTATAGGTACCTACTTAATTATCTTATGTAATTGGTTAACGTAGGCCGTAGACACAAATGATTTATGACTGATTTTAAACGATGCGTGTGTAGTGATGAGTTGCATTTTAAATAAGTAGTTGATATATATATATAATAAAAACATTTATCACTTATAATTTTATTAGGATAATCGACCATTGTAATTTGTATATTTGATTGTGTTGGTGTTCAGAACCGTCCCGAGGGCATGATGGGCTACAATTCTTAATTACTTTTTTATATGGTTAATATATAAGTCATTTGAATAAAACCCCTTTTAAATAATTAATCTTGTTTCCAGCTGATTCGGTGTTTTATTTCTGGGATGATTCTACAACGTATGTATGATTGATTAGTGATTACTATTACTGATTACAAAAGAAAACGAAGTAGGTGGGTACCAATAGGTCAGCCTGTCATAAATATGTGAACGTCACACATATAGGTTTTGTTAAAACAAAAAAGATGAAAAGCAATTATGAAATTATTAAATAGGATTTCGGTGATCATTTTCTAGAGAACTACAGTCGGGTTTAATAGTATACCTTGGTAGGTAATAGGTTAAAAATAATAAAAATATGATTGTTATTTGTTACAATACATTATAACATTAAATATATTATAAAATAATATTATTAAGTATCCTGGTTGTAGGTAATAGGTATAAGTGGTATAACAAAAAGTATTCGTTCAACGGAAGGATATTTTTTTTTAGATTGTTTTATTTATTTTTTTTTTTTAATAATAATAACAGGTGGCAATTGTGTCTTATTATTATTTCTTTGCGATGATAATAAATATCGCAGTAGCTATAGGGAGACTACTCTTACTCTTGTACTTTATTTTCGGCAATTTAAGGGGCTCTTTAAAACTACATTATATACTTCTAGGTATATTTATATAAATTGCTAATACGTTTTACTTCTGATATGGCCATGTTATTGCTAGATACGGGTTGTTATAGTTTAGCGATCAGTAACACTTATTCTGTAGACGACATTCACTTGGCAGATTCAGAATACACCAAAGGTTAAAAAAATATTTCTATCTATGTTATACTATTACATTGTAAAACTAGTATTTCATATATTTTTTTAACGTGCCATCAACAGTCTTCGAAATACGTTAAGTAGGTTAAACTACGTGTTCTACAGCGAGGATGTTTTATGAAACTCTTTAATTCTCCTTAACTGACCGCTTTACGACCATATGAGATTGGTGGTGGCCTAAATAGTACGTAAATATTATCAATGGAATCAACGTGGAAATATTAGGTAGTAAATAGATATAGGTAGGTATATGTTGGTATAGTATAGCCAGTAATGGAACATATTATTATATTATTATTTACAAGTATACGCGATGGGCTGTAACTAATATGGAATGTGCATTTCCGAGTTTAAATAACTAAATGGCTTAAATAATTGATTGTAATCGCATTAAAAATAAATTACACTAGAAAACAATTTCTATTTCCAAAAAATATATAGAATGTATGTATAATAAATAAAATGTAATTATATATTTTAATGAGAAATAAATAAGAAATAAAATCGGAGCAATAATGATAAAAAAAAAACAGAACTATAGGTATTAGGTACCTATATAAATGGTATATGTATATATATAACTTTATAGAAAAGTTGATTTAATAACTATACGTACCTATGATTAACCAACTACTTCTTAAAGTAAATATTAACATTTAAATTTTAGAACCATAGGTTGTTTGACTTTAAAGACGATAATTTTCAGAAAAATATTTTAAGTTTGAAGAAACGAATAATTATAATGTGGTTTTTCTCGGATAAAAATTAAATTCATTAGGATAATTTAGAATGAAACATTTGAATTTGATTTGAAGTGATCATAAATGTATACATAACATGTACCTAAAATGAGTGAGGTACTGACTGTAAAAACCTTGAACTAATTTGATACAAAAAAAATTACTTTTTATATACTTTTTTCGGGTAACATATTATAGTATCTATAAAAACAATTATATTCATGCCAGTTGGCAATTGTAATAAAATACGTACCATAGGTACATACATTTATTTGTGTTTTTTTTTTTAATTGTAAGAAATTGTAGTTCTATTAAATTTGTCTGCCTTGTGCTTTTTTTTATAAAATCATTAAGGCCATTAGAAACTCGGAAATTCACGCGCCAAATACGGTGTTGCGGAAACATACAATTATTATACATTCTGTGCGCAAATATAGAAAAAAAAATTAATTCAACACTATCATTATTTAACCCAAAAATGTTAATAAATGAGAACATTTTGTTTTTATAAATATAATATTTTTTTTATTGAATGTCAAATTTTAAAACGATAAATAATATTAGTACCTATTACAAAGTCATAGTTATATAGATACGCTATAGGTGTATAATACAGTTAAAAACACACATTTCATTTTTTTTTTCATATCTTAAAATCTGAAATGGGCCTTATAATTTGAAATACTATTACTATAAATTATAATACACATAATACCTAAATAAAAACAAGATTTTCATTTCCATAAAATATAAAAATAATTTATTTAATTTAAACAATATGCATTCTTTAATAATTTGAAGGACATATTTTATTTTATTTTATGTAGGTTTATAGGATTCATTTTGAATAAATTAAAAAGTATTTAAAACTGAAATAGTACATTTCGTTGTACTTGTGCACTATATAAGTATAAGTTATAACCTATATACAGTACCATTTAAAATTTTTTTATAAAAATACATAAAAATAAAGTCAACCGCGTTTCATTGATAATGCATTTTATAATACTATATACTTTATTTGAGAACCCAAAAAGCACGAAAAAACTATTAAAATAGTAAAGTTGCCTTACATTCGCTGACCTGGTCAAAGTGTCAAGGACAGTGAGGTTCTCTGTGTAAGTAATATTTTACCATTGTTAATATGTTGTAAAATTAGTCATGGGAGTCTACATAAACAAAACTTTTGTAAAGTCTTAATTGTCTATGCTACCTATAATTTAAATAGCAATTCTTTAGATTTTGTATTTTTATTCATACTGATATATCTACGATGGTTAGTGGCTACATGTCAGGATTATAAAAAAATTATTATGTTTTAATATATTATATTATTTTATTCGTAACTATTTGCTATTGTGTTGCATATATTTATTGTACAGATTGTTAAAAACTGATATCAATATTTGTTATAGGGTTAAAATGAAAAATTCAATGAACGTCGTATCCATATTTTAATTAATAAATTGTACCCATTGTCAGGAAAATAAGTTATGGAAGTTACTTTGTAGTTTATTGATAGATTTTTTTATTAAGCATTAAATTTATTATAAGGAACCAAAGGATGGAGATTCACAAAACAAATCCAATTAATAACCAACACACGATCACAATATAATAGAAAAATAAAAATACTTTGCTGATGGAGTTTTTGCATAATAATACATTTTAATCTCGAAAAACCAATTTCTAATATCTGCATCAGACAGTTGCAAAATATTTTTTAATTTACATTTCAAACAAAATAAGTTACGCTAATAATGTTATTACAGTTGGAGAAAGTCATAACTCATAACAAATTCTTGTAAAATATGTGTTTGAATTGTATAGGTACTTTATAGTTGTATTATCCTAAAGTCAATCATTCATAAATCATATAAGTATTCCTAAAATAAATACAATATACGTCTGTACGTTTATTTGTACAACGACTACTTACACCGGGATTAAAAATACGCATATTATAATTTATCTATTATATATTTATATATAAATATAATCAATGATATTATTATATTATAGACTATAGGCTATAGCTATTGCGTACGCAAATTGTTATTCTTTGGACGAGAAGTCAATTATTAAAGTTGTTTTTGAATATGCATTAGGTGTATCATAATAGGTATTCATAAATTTATAACTGTCTAAAATATACAGGCACCTATATAATATAAGTATATTATACCATACATGCTGTGTATTTAGACAGTGCCAGTCATAGGATTGTGTGTGTGGGGGGGGGGGGGTAGTTAAATACAGGCGTATTACAAAATAAAGGTCGCTTATCATTCATAAATCGTAAAGCAATAATGTGTTTTATATTCATACAGGGCGTGTAGTGTGTGATACTGTGATTAGGTATTAGTACTGTGATTTATAGAGAAGTATTACATCGATAATATATTGTTATGGATATAATTATGTTAAAAACAATAATTATAATTAATAATTATATAAATGCGAACACGGGATTAATATCCATGCATGAATGCGTATAATATGGTACATATCGGTACACCTTAAAAGCTTAAACGGCGGTCTAATGAAACGATGACGTAACGCGTGTTGCTCATTATAATATACTGTGTGTTATAAAAGGTATCTCGTGTGGTAGAGAAGATGGAGGAAAAAAGTCGCATTCAATCGCGTGTGTACCTATGGGTATACCTTCATCGCAGCGTACATATTATGCGTACATCGCCGCCGTGGTTATCGATTATGCAGATGACCGGAGGGCACATAATATAATATTATTATAATGCTGTTAGAGCATACAACAGTTAATTCCGTTGGGAAACATTATAGAGGTGTTCTTATAGATATTATTCTGTCGTGATGTAGCCGTGCCACTTTCACAGTGGGTACATGGACCGAGTGGAACTGATTAATAGTACGGAAATGTGCACTTGTTCGCACACCTATATTCTGCAGTAGGCACGCCGATAAATAATACGCATGTTGCCCTGACAATAAACGTAGGTTATAAAATTATAAGTAGCATGTATGTGTGCATATTGGCCGAAATATCGATCTTTTTTTTTTAGGTGAAGGATTGTACATATTATAATATTTGAAATTCTATCGTTGGGTGTACCTACAACTTGAGTTAAAGGTTTTCGAAATTCCAACGACAGCGGGGCCAAACGATTTCGGACACGATTAATTTACAAGGTTAACGGCGGAAAACATGTAGTGCGTCCTACGTCCACAAACGAAATATTACATTATTATACAACCAACAGATATACAATAGTCTGATGGTCAATAATGCATCGAAACCTTTCTATAATAATTAATAGATTATAAACACTTTATTTACAGGCTACAACATTCCTACAACATTCGTTATTCAATAAACATTTGTAATGCCTATTAATTATTCCTAGATGAAAATTGTTCCGTTTCAAAGTGTTTCAAAAAAAAAAAAATTATTAAATTTAAAGTTCTAAGTAAAATAAGTTTTCGTTCATTCTAATTAATTCGATTAATCTGAAGGGGTTCAAAATTCTACGTATTATATATTTTTCTTTTAGAATATAATTTCGTGAATTATGCTTACACTTTCCCTTAAAATATTTTGATTCATTCCATTTCTGGTATTATAATAATATGAAATGTATGAATAAAGAGTACCTATACAAAAACGTTACATCACTACGCTTAATTTGAAGTGAACGTCTTAACGTAACCGCGAACCACAGTCTCTGCAGCAGTAGATTATTATATCGAATAGGCAGAATAATGAAATTGTCAATGGAATTATTATTATATTATATCCTTAGGTAACTGGAACAATAGGTCGTTGACGTAATAATACAAATAGATTTGTCTCCAAAAGATAAAACGTAGTCATTATGATAGGCAATTTAATAATGATTAATAACTATAATAAGTATATAACTAGGTATGTAGTTAATTTACCTGTGACAAGACGTATGGAAGAGTGACGACCAATAAAATGGCCGCATATATTTTAATCCTCATGCCAGCTGGATGAATCTGTAAAAAAAAATGTATATTAATAAAAAAAACTGTTCAGAAACCAAATTATAATCAATATACACCACAACTACGCCTAAACATCTTTTTGTGAATTTCATGATTGAAGAAGTGAAGTAATAGCTGACACTTAAAATGTATAAATATATAAATGTCTACTCCAGTACTTTGCTGATATTTTATGAGCTCATTTACAGTAATCAGACACACCTCCTACTATTATAACTATTACACAATACCATCAACTGGCAAATTATAATTTACTTATTTCGACATTTTAAAATCTTTTTTTCCCGAAATAGTAGGTAATTGATTTTTTGAAATATAGTTGCCAGAAGCCAGAACTAATGTTTTATACGGTCTATGTATTTTCAATCTATTTATACTAATACTATATTTTATGTGAGGACCTCGTAGGTACCTTATGTTATATTTTAGTATAGGGCTGACATATTTTATTTTACTTAAACCGAAACAAATATTGTTTGTTGTATTTACTCCTCCACGGTCAACCACCGATTTTAACTTCTTATTTACTGGAATACAGCACATAATGACCAGCACACTCTACACCGTACGTTTATTAAGTAAGAACTATCTTAATGGTACAAATCGGAACGATAGTAACCGACAAAATTTCGATTAGCGATGACTGAACCGATTTTCAAGTTTTCACATAAATGTATTGAATTTAAACGGGATTAAAAACAAACACGATCGATTCGTTTATTAAAGAACTCTTAAAAAGGGATTTTCAAAATTGTTGTCTGTCTAATCATTATGTGTTTGATCGGCGTGTAGATATGAATTGTTCCGAGAAGTAAAATATGACAATTTATCTATATATATATAAAAAAGAATGCCTTTTTTTCTTGGGTCACGGCAACACGCTTATCGCTTATCGTTTAAAACAGATCCATCTATAATAGATTATTATATAAGATAGATATTATCATTTCTTAGAGCACATTTCTCAGTCAATTTATTGTACTTAAATTTTAATTTAATGTTTTTATTACTCAATGAACAAAAATAATATTGATATTTATATAGACTAGTCGATTCAACAATATATTAGAATAACTAAAAACATGATACTTAATACTTAAATGTCATCAATATTAATTGTATCAATAATCTATAACTCATATATCTACTTAAAGGTCACCAGGGTGTGACTTTTATTTGTCTAAAGAACAATATTGCTTAATACGACATCTGTGTTACGAAATAATTGCAGATATTATCCGCACAACATATAGGTATGTATAAGATTCTGGGGATACCTAACCTATTAACTATAGTAAGTACAGTTACAGTATGTACACTAGTACCTACATCATAATACAATATGACATTGGAGCCAAAGTCGTTATGCTTCTTTCTTTATATAACACGTAAAAGTATACCAAGTCACATTTTTATTATTATATATTAATCGTTGTTTTAGGTTCCTGAACCGTATCTATATTAATGACTATAAAATATGTATTGTCTTATTTACAGTTACGATTATACGTTAGATTTTATTTGACAAAGGTACACAATAGTAATGGACTTAAAATACACTCCAGTAAGTATGTACGCATATATAATATATAAATATTATGCGTTATCCGGGTGCATTTTATTAAGTGATGGCATCGCTGGAATGAGTGAATTGCGTGAGATTTTCAACATTTTTTCCTTCCTCCTGTTATCCGAGCCCACACGAAAGTTAAGAGAGAAAAAAACTGAGGAAAATTAGATTAATAATTGATAAAAATATAAATACATGCAATAGCATTTGTGTATTAATAATTGACCAAAATGATTGTAGGTATTCCTACATACATATTTAATATAGTATTATACTTATAGGTACTGTATGATAAATTCTTGCATTTTCCGCCTAAGTATTGCAAAACAAGTTGAATTGCAAAACTGGCTTGCAATAAATTGTAGGTAATATTTACCGCCTATAGTGAGATTTACATATTTAGGTTATAGAAAAATAATAAAATATTAAAATTACAAAAAGTTATGTAAAAACGTATTTATTAGAAAAAAAAAATTTTATAAATTAAAAATTATAATTTAATCAAATTACGAATAAATTAAGAAATCCGACTGTTATACACATGTATGTTAATATTTTATAACAGGTTTAAATATTATGTCTTTGGTAGATACCTAAGCATAATGAAAAGTTGACTATAATATTATACATTGTACTACAGTGGGCAAAGACGAGTGGGTAACTATTGCGACTTGCCGCCTGCAGTGGAAGATTTTCCGTTAAAATTTTGTAATGGCAGACAATCGTAAATCTGAAGTAGGTATTTTACTCAAGCAATAGTAGCTTAATAAATAACAATAAACATAATAGGTACATATTTTCTCAATCCGGTGAGAGTTACTCGAGTATGAATACAATAATGAAAGAATGTTGCCAAGGTTCAATATATTAATTTTAGTAATTAGATGAGAATAATATTAGAAGGTCATAAACGAGGCCTATGTCAAATTATTATTTTTATACTTCATGGTATGAAATTCCAAAATATATACAATTAACAAGCACAGGGACTCACTGAAGTTTATAATATTATTATTGTTATTATTATGTTCAACAAAAAAACAAGTATAAATGTATAATGAATGATGACCTCTATATAGGCTCTCTTCAATTATTCTAAAATTGTATTTATTTTTGTATCGAATTTAAAATAATAATGTGTATTAAATAAATAAGATTCAGTTTAAGAGGTTATGAAATAAAAATTAAATTAAAAAGTTTAAAAAAATTAAAATATACAGGTATCGGGAACGGCAACATAATAATATAATATGCGTCTTAAATACCTACTTGTCATTATACTTCATATACCAGTACTATACATTACCTATATGAAGTTATAATAGTAGTATTTATAAACTATCCTAGTGTGAGTAAATGTAGCATATGTGCCTATAATAGATATGTATTATTAGTATATTGTTTGAATATTGTATATCGTACATAAAAAGAAACCAGTCCAAAGAGTCCACATATAAAATATACGTTATTTATAGGTAGTTATTTTCCCAAAAAAATCAAGTATTTAGTACGTCCGGTGTGCTGTGTACACCACAAATACAACAAAAACGTATACCTATATAATATATAATTAAATACGCCGGGAAATTATTGTCCTCGTTGAATAGGAAAAAAAATTGTCCCGCTGTCGTCGGTATGGCCGCGACGACGATCGATCGGCTCGGTCGTGCAGTATAATATATAAATATATAATACCTATTAGACAAGGTAGACTTGTCGACGGCAGAAAGGGGGGGGGGAGGGACGAAAATGAATCTATACATGTTCACTTGTCCGGCGTAGTATATAATAATATAATAAAATGCATAGCGTGGTCGTCGCATGAAAGATGGGCGAAAGAATGTAGGACGAACAACGGTGCCTGGCCGCGGCGACTTAATAACAACATTCCGAAACCGGGTTGGGTTTCTTTTTTAAAATACATTTTTTAAACACATGGAAATTAAACTAGTCGTAAACGCGGAAACTAGAATTTCGTGCACGCCGCCCATCACGCTTACCTACCCACCTATAACTATATATATTATGTGTTTATGCCTATACGGCGACGGGTGGACAGACTAAAAATTGTCATAGGTCATTATGGCAAATGGTATAATTCTACACAATGCGTCGTCATAATACTTCCTCAGATTGCTTATGGGTCTTTCAAATTTTGCCCGACAGACGTAACTCCCACGAAACTCACGTCCCCCCCCCCCCTTTTACGATTTTCCGCAGCACTAAATTCCAGTCAGTGCCTACCTACCTTTATACACGCGCAATACACATATAACTATATACAACTTATCAGGTATAAGCATAGGTCGCAGGTGCGTTCGGTTTGTTTTTCACGTTTCGTCTGAGGAAAAATCGACGGCAGACGTAGAGCTGCTCTGCAGCGGACAACTAGCTAGGCACAGACAGTTCGTGTCTTCACGCGATTTTAAAAGAGAAAGGTCTTACACGTCGCTATAGCATGGATAACGACGTGTATTAATCCCAAGAGAACCGCGTATACCTTATACATATATATACGCAAAACAATCATGTGAAAAACGAAAGGAAATATGAGGCATTACTGCAGCAGTCTTGTCATTGACACAATAACGTGACTAGTTTTTACGCACTTGAACTTCAATCCGAAAACGAGCGCACGGCGCATGTGCATTATATATATAGCAGCGGCCCGAGTTCGACTGTATCGCTATGACGCAACCACCTGCAACCGTATTTATTTATATATTATATTTATATCCACGTTTTAATGGTTGTTTACCCTTGTAATGTCATAATTATTGATATCGTCTGGCCATCGATGTTTTTGTTGTTGTAAACTTGGTGCAGGTATGCTACGCGATAATAGTCAATTTATCTACCTATCTACCTACTTAGGGCCATGTCATTGCCCATTCTAATATTATACAGAAAAACAACGTTCATTAGATTACATTAAAAGCACTCAATGTAAGACCTGCACAGACCATAATATTGTTTAATGTAATTATTCGAATAAACGTGTAGGTAGGTTGTTAACGATTTTACGGAAGAAAAAATTCTCGAACTAAGAAAATATAGTAGGTAAACAACTGAACTTGTTGACATCTTTCGCAGACAAACGGATAATAAGACATACTGTTAAATCCAACTATATTGCTGTAAACACAAAATTGAACGTTACCTATACTAAACGAACGATTTTGAAAAATAGAGATAATCCTAACTCTAGCAGTACCTACCTATATAACTAAGTGTCAAAACCAGTTTTTTGAATTCATTATTCTAGATTCGACCATACTATTTTGATAAACATAACATTATAGATTGCTTTAGATACAACATTTTAGAAAAATGAGTAAAGTTTTCTAACTCTAGCCAATGAATTAAAACTGGTTTCAAAAATAAAATCTCGTATCTTGTTAGATACAACGACTCCATAACG